ATGCTTCTTAGTATTTTACCAAGACCAAGGGGTAAAACAAACAAAATTCTGAACACGTGCGACTCCGCTTTTCCATAACTTATGTAACATAATTCCAAAATTTACTCCCAAAATTTCCAGTATATCCAACATTAGGCACTCCTTCCGAAATACGAGTATGTATTTCCAAAATTTCCCACGCATTTTCAGAATTCCTTATTTAACGCCAGTCAAGGCCGAGAAACACAACGGAAAGAGCCGTTACTGCTTGTGGACATAGGCCAAAACATTTAAAGCGGAAAAGTTCAGTATTTGAGTCATACAGTTTTCTGCGATATTTTTCCTTTGCCCGACATTAAGAACCAAATTATCAATTCTGTTTTTAAATCGCCTTCAAGTTTACGATAAAACTGATTGTTCTCTTCATTCCATTCCAACGACGTGCGGTACAAAAAACAAAAGTCCCGCGAACAACACCTATCGGACAAATTTTTCATTGTTCGTCTTATTCGCAGAATATTTAAATAGTTCCCTCATATCTCCTACACATTCCCTTAGTTCTTCCCTCGCAATTTCCTATACAATTTCCTCAATGCTCTAAAATACTGCAGGATTTAGTACCAATTCATTGCAGTTCCAGCTACATACATATCGTAAAAGGTTATAGAGGCGACAACTTTGTGGTAGCACCACCAAATTTTCTGATCAAGATGAAACGGTGCCAGGATTTCATGATCAATTCGTGCTGCATGCCCTCAAAAACGAAAAGGGTGACAGCAAGCAACCACCGATCGCTATGAGGGGCTACCCATTGTATTTGCACAAGATCTAATTCAGAAAACTTTGAAAGAAATTCGAATTGACATACAGTGTGTCCACGGATTGAGTGCATATAAGGTGTTATACTATGCGATCAAAAATGGATTGCTGTCGTGTCACCTTTGGAATTTTTGTTTACATGGAAAATCGTACTTAAAAGCTGGAAACACACGATCGAACATCACGACAAACATGTACGCGCGTACATCGTGTGTTTCCAGCTTAACATGAACTTCCAAAGGCGACTCGACGTCAATCCTTTTTTGATAAATTTTTTTAGAGTTGAATCTTCATGTTCTGAGGATCGCTCCTGCTTTATCTCAAACTTAGATATTTAAAAAAAAGAGCCTAAATAAATTAATACATATGGTGATTTTTGTTGAATTTTAAAAATTAGTGAAGAGTAAACTATCTACTTTTAACAGATATAACAGTAATGTGTTTAAAAAAGTTGTTTATAAGATTTTCAATTTTCATACAAATAAGCCTGCTTTGGGGCGACAGCAAGGGCTTCCATGGCTGTTTTTCGGTCTGCATTTCCTAATCGTCTAATTTCGTTTCGGAGATCTCTCGAAATCGCTCCAGCTGTGGTGATTGGTGTAACGATTTCTTTTCTCCATTACGAAGCATTATATTTATTACTCGTTGAAACGATTTGATAGATGGCTCTATCTAATGATGAAATTTCACCACGCAATTTCCGCACAGAATGCCAGCGCCTTGATTTTTGGGGTGTCGATTGTCATTTATTTTCCTTCATAAACCGCATCGGAATACACGTCGATTAAAAAAAAACAGCTGAAAGCTTAAGGTAGAACGCGTACAGGTCTAATTGCCATCTTCAAAATATATTGATCACTGGCGATTTGATGCAAAATTTGAGTGCCGCCGAGTGCATTTCGTATATTACCTTGCTTAGGTTTCAGCTGTAAGTTTTGTACTGTACTTTCCATCGATAATTGCTTCATCTACGATTAGCCCTCTTATATAACAGGTAGATAAATTTATGTCATCAAAGAAGAGGGGTTACGTTTGATTTCTTTTAGGGTCTAACTTCTATACACGTTTTACGTTACATACTAATTCTTGTTCGACGTACAAGTTTTGTAACCATTTTGCTGTAAAATAGGTCACCGGGTCATGAAGGAGATTTACTAAGAGTATCGACCCTATTAAGGATAATTTCCGCGATCGAGTTGGAAACGCGTATGTTGTTGGAGATCACCACTTCCTTCTGGAGGGGTGGGCCAATTAAGTACCGTACCTGGGCGTCGATTCCCGAAGATGTGCTTTGTTCACATCGACTGACCTTGATGTGAACGTGAATGTCACTGCATTCTCGAACCTACCACATCGAGCGAAAAGTTGATCGAACGCAACGACAGTGTCTAGACCACTCGTTGCGTGAAAGTCATGCGCAGTTGCAGCTACAGGACGGATCTTGCAGCTGTTTTGTCATAGAGGTTATTCAGTGCCCTAACCTATAAATTCACATATTTTCTGTGAAATAAAACACGGAATTGTTCGAGGATTTTCTGGTTATTAATAACAGTATCCATAATGCAAAAACAAAACAAAATACAAGACTGACAAATGACAGTTAAATTCTTGTCTGTGATTGGTTAGCTCATACGATTCGGGAATGCAGCTAAACTTGAACTTATCCCTATCGTATACGATCATGACGTCATGGCTGCGGGTCACATCACGGAGCATATCGACTAACTTCGGGAATCGATACCCTGGTATAGAAGCAGATGACGAGTAGAGCGAGCCCCTTCCGGCATTAATCAACTAATTATATATACCGAGCCCTGCGGCTTGAGAGGTTTTTCTTTTTGATTGTTTTCAGGTTTTGATGCGTGAACTGAGCTCACTTCTTCGCGTCAACGTCTTACTTTATTCAAGATATGAGTTGCGTTATATGTTTTTGGAAAGTTGTTTTAAGATTCAGTAATTCTCATTTATACTTGGGATTTATTCTTTTGGGGGAAGTTAATTGGAAGTTTAACGTGTGATTCAATTATGGAGATACTTTGATTTGATATTTGGAATAAACCAGTATTTCTTTGGGTACCTAAATTGATTTTTACTGTTATTACTACCCTCGTATCTTCTCAACTTCATACGGGGAGAGTTACGTTATAAATTGAGTGGTGCTAAACCCCATTGGCAAGTGGTAACAAAGTTACGAAGGTCATACCTATGCCCAGAACCAACTACCGCTGTAACAGATCTCAAGATTTTATTTTATTTTCCAACCCTTAGCTAGTGGGCCGTTTATGTGGCGGGTTTGAGGTAACGCAGCGCTCAACTCTGCCTACCGTTAGTTATAATAATTAAAATCAAGGGTGTTATGAGCATAAACCCTGTACGTTTTATTAATTGCATTAATTGGTGCGCCACTGGGCCGCACTGGCTCCTCCTACAGACTTTAACTTGCCCGTCTGCCCGCTGCCGGTTCCTGTACCTACGTTGCAAATGGCGGAAGCAACCCTCAGAGAAGGCCTACAATGTTGTCTTCGTGAAAATGGGCGTCACATATTAGTTTTAGTATTTAGGCATACAAAATGGCACTTTCTCTAAGAAAATAAAACACTTCAGAGATGCATGCGCGCATGTGCAGAAGTAAATTTCTTATTTGTGGATTAGATTCTTCGCTCAATAAAACGCGATGAGGAAAAACTACAATAAAGGGAAGGTGCTAGGCCTCAACAACATGTCTCCGTGCGGAAAAGTTCAAGTTTTCAAGAAACTCATTTTTATATATCAATGCTTTGGAGAGATTTGGTAGTTAAAGAGAAGATCATTAATGGCGCTCTTCTTTGTTTACCTTTGCATTTACATTTTCTCCTAAAAAGGGCCTTTTCAGACTCTGCTCCAAAGGGAACAATTGAGCCAGCCGCCTCCCTGCCAAGGTTTATAATTTAAAAGCAAATGTACCACAACTAATCAAAATACCGTGAAAATTTACAAATTGTGTTTGGCCTCTTTCCTAATGACAAAGTAAATCCGAACAGAAAGTTTGGCAGAACTCGTTCGGATTACCGATGTTTCCGGATTATAGAAATCATAATAAATGATCTCTATATGCACACATAAATTCACATCAGAAAAAGTATGATCGACTACTATGAAATCTTTTATTTGAAAAGTGGACACAAACATTCTTTAGTAGAAGTTCTCAAGTGTACGGATATCATTTTACAAAATGGCGAATTACAGAGTGGTTCGGATTATCCATACATGTTATTTAATGAAATGCATTAACCCTAAATTTTGATTTCTATTTATCCCCTGTGAAATTTTTCACCGAATCCCTCTTTCTGTTTTTCCAGTTCAGAATTAGAGGAAAAAGGAAATTCGTGCGATTATAGTAATAGTAATTATCAAAAATAGTTCTTGCAAGATCACAAACAAGAGACCAGCTCTGCTAAACTAAAAAAACACATTTTTACCCCTCGAAAAGGTCTCATGGGGACGAAAAAGTTAAGCTGTTTGAAGCTGGTTCAGTTTGCTGGAGGCAAATTAAATTTAATTTATTTTCTATCAATTCGAGATTGCATCAACAATGGCATTCCAAGATTTAATTTGGCAAATTTGTTATTAGGTGAATATTTCGACCCTAAGCCTAACTAATATTCTCTTCACGAGGGTAGACCAATAAGTATTCACAGGTGGCAAATATACGAAATAACTCCCTTTTTGATAGTTGTCAAGTTAATATTAAAAGATTCCCTCTGTCTTGATTAACTCGAACGCGTTGCACCCTCGTGTAAACTTTCGACCTGACTTAAAACCCTCCCTAGAAAGTTGCCGTAGCGACATCAATCCCAAATTTCCAACATAAATTATTCGCCCCTAATGGAAACCGATTGACCCAAATTTCATCCCCTTTAATTGATTCTGTATACAAAGACGCTTTGACGCAATTTTAATACTAATAAGGGGCTACCAGATCTAGATTAGAGATTACCCTCTTCAAAGGAGCACCTGCTCCTTCTTTGAAAATCAGCTTGCGCTTAGGTCATCACAGTTTTGACAGGTTGAAAATTGGAATCGCGTAAAGAAGATGACTAATTTTACCTCGACCCGCGTAATCCCTAAATCTGTTTTCTTAGGGGCTTTGAACGGATGGTTGTCGGCGTGAGCTTAACGGTCATGAGAGTTGATGATGATTCAAAGAAAAAAAGCACACTTACAAAATTTCCAGAAAAGTTCCGCATTCGTCGCCTGCTGCAACTCACCTGTAACAAAAGACAAAGGATATCATTTACGTGCACGAAGAAAAGTAAATTATGTAATCTTGCGTTTACTAAATTACATCTTCATTTCCAAGGCTTTACTTATCATCGTGCTTTCCACAATATGGTTTACAACATAATTGGCCAACGCTGACAAATTGGTTTGTAATTAATCTCAAAAGTTAATATGCAAATTCGTAGAGGTGAAATTAAAAAAATAATCGAAATAGAAGTCACGTTTGCCATCTGGTCTTCTTCCTAGTGGGGCGGTGCTTCGTCTTTTTTGCGCATTTCAAGGTTAATTATGTAATAATCGTAGCATGTGGCTGGACTTTTGGGCGATTCAAAGTGGATAGAATAAAAAAAAAACTTTCTCTCCGCGTTTAGAATTTTGTAGAACGTAATAACAACGTAGGTACAGTTGCATATTGCAGATGCTGTTCTTGGCGGCCCTGACCATGACATTGTCCGACCTCTAGAGAGGCAGGTGAACCGAGACTAGGGCAAATGTTAGGACTTATTAGGTCTCGCCTAATCCCAACCCTTTGTCTACATCCGATGCGTGCAACGACGTGCCGATTGGAATATTGGGGCGATGAAAAAGTCTATTCGGGCGTCAAACGTGGCAGTGGCAGGATACGTGAAAAAAAGTTGCGCGCTGCATTATGTAAAAAAGGCACCTGCTGGATCCCCCAACCACATTTGTCCTTGCACAACCCCCTTCTTTTGGCGAAACCATCTGCATTTTTCCTAATTAAGACCTCCATATGGTAATGCAGAAATTTCAATTGCATATAAAGTATGTCACGATAAGAAAAAGTGGGCTCGATTTTACGCATCCATTCGAGTAGTGTAGATAAAGGCACGCTAAAATACTAATTATAAGTTTATTGAACTAGATTAACAATGACCTTAGCGGTGACGTCATCGTATCAAAACGAAAACGCGGTTTTTGGGCCATTACGTAACGTACAAATGGTAGAAATAAAAACACCATAAATACATTCATTCTTTTCACTCGAGAAAGTGCTCACTTGCTTTAATGCGTGTTGTGCAATCTTGCTCTTGAGTGGAAAGTGACACCAATACAAAGTAGGACGTCGCGTTCCTTACGTTGCTTTGCTATCACCGCGTATTTTTATAAAGTAAATCTGAGCAGGTTACTTTTTATTGGGTCAATGTAAACTACTGGTTTGGTTAAGAAATTTTGATCAAGAGGGAAAAAAGGCGACTAGCAGAAGAGGTCCACGCCTTTTCCTTTTTAGACTTGTTTACTCACTATTTTGTGCTAAAGTTAGTGATAATTATATGCCGATGACCACAAAATAAACACACTTTGTATTCGGTTACCTGACACTCTACAAACACAGCATTCTAAGAACCCCACACGTGTTCCACGTACCTTTACGAGAAATACGAGAGTTTTTCGCACATATTTCGAAGCCTTTCTAATTCCTGTTGTGTCACAACAGAACAAGTGTAAATGGAAAACGCGCGCTCACAATAAGATATGGTAATCCGAAGTGCTTGACCTACATGGCGACAAAAAACAATTGCTTTGCGGCTTTGGCGACCTCCAGGTCTATAGCCTTACTACGAAAAACTGTTTTCGGAGTGCAGGTGGATGGACTAAAGAGTCCTTCGGACACGGCAAGCAATAATAATACGTTTTCATTCATTCACAAGTCCACGCGTGTTAATTACCAAGCTGCTGTTAAAATTATTCGAAAAATTGACCAGATTGTGGAGCTCTAGTAAAATGGTACGTGTTTTTGAGGAGTACCGTGAAAATCAGAACGTGTTACATTGTCAAACCATTAAAAAAAGGGTCTCGGCAGTTAGAAAACCGGAGTCTTCCAAATTCTCCATTCATCTGCTGTCCGAAATTGTCATGTAGGTACATAATATGGTGACAGTCTGACGAAATTGTGTCGCAGTTCCTCGTATAGTTCTCTGAATGGTGCAATTTTGAAATGATCTTTGGCTTCATCCATTCGTCATTCGAACCAAATATCACGTTAAAATATGACTTGACCCAAAAAGTCATCACAACAAAATCAAAAAGGTGGAAAAAAGTACTCGGATTTAGCCGATAATGTCTTCTATCGCACTAAATTATTTATTAATAAGTTGGATTTACGTATATTATTTTTGCTTATGTCTCTTCTGAAGGGGGCCTAATTTTATGCAACTAAAATAACTTCTTAAAACAAATAAAGATCTGGCTGTCATATTAATCTATTTGAATATTGTCATCTCAGAAGCGATTTTGTCATTTAAAAGTAGACATAGGGAAAAACAATACACGTAAATCCCGATGTCTACTTCTTAATAAATAGCACTGTTTGTAATTGTGCACAAAATAAACACCTACAAGTATTACACGAAATGTACAAATGGAAAAAAATAATCTGGCCCGAAAACACACTTTTGCATTCCAAAATGCAACGATGGCACCAAAAAAACGGCAGAAGCTTACCCTTACAAAAGCTACCTACCCTCATATGATTATGATTGTAAGAATAACCCGTGGTCGATCGAAATTTTGCTTTTGGTAGTGTAAAGTCGTTCGAATTATTGATTCTTATTGAGTATTAATTACGGTTTCAGTATACGATTGCCCCAGTGTCAGACGTTAGCATTGCTATTTCGCAATATTTTGTGCCCTTTTAATTGGTTGTTGCGTCGCGTCTGTTACAGATTGACAGAAAAGAAAGCGCCCTTTTTAGCTCAACAAGGCCGTTGCGATCTGTAGCTCAAAAGGTATACGGTTTATAATACGACTTATACAGTTATTCGTAGTTTGCAGTCGAAATCAACTGAGAATCTTCGAACAAATGCTCGCCTCATTCAATAGTTGTCGCGCCCGCGTAAATCGAATGGCAAAGATAGTTTCTTTTTTAATTTTCAAAAACTGAGTTTGGTTTCCGTATTTTACTGTTCAAATATTCAACATTTCGTAGAGTTTTATCCGCAAACACTTGGGTTAGGAATTTTTGAAAATTTTTTATTTCTGTCCCTTTCGCTACTCTTTCAAGGTATCCCTTAGTTAGTACTATCAAAAAAAGTAATATAGGCGTCATGGCCTATTTTTGGATCAAACTTAAAATGGCAATATCAAAATTTGAAAATGTTAACTAACAATTTGTTTCATACAAAAGTTTCTTTATAATGACAGGTAAAAAAGTTATCGGATTTAACCTCATTTTTTAAATTTACTTTATAGGGAACACATCGTAGATGATATTTAATGAGTAGATACATAATTCGAAACTTTCAATTGGATTTTTTTAACTTCTTTGGACTGTTTCTTTGTGTGCTATCGTTTTTGGAAAGAGAATTTTATATCCTATTTTCTTTAAATTAATCTACAAATTATGCCACTTCGAAAATAAGATTAGGTCGGATAACCTTTGAGTTTGAAAACTGCAGATTATTCAACAATCATGATAAAGAAACTTTTGTAATCAAGATTTTTTCTGTATCTCTTTTAAGTAAGAAAACATTTTGATATTGAGAATTTTTTGAATTCCGTCGTCTTTTTTTAAGTGAGCAAAAACATTTCCAAATTTGAGTTTACCATTTTAAGGATGTCCCCCACTACGTCCAATTTGTTTCTAAACCAATTAGGTGCTAATTGGGTGGTAGTTAGGTGCCAATAACAAAAATTTAGTGCTTTGGTCGTTGGGCACAAAACATTTTTATTTGGACGGGGTTAATTAACAATTTTTATAATTAGGGACCTTAGTTACAAACAAAATATTTAAAAAATGCACGAGATATCAAAAAATCATCTGATCAAGTAGATCGACAATTAGATTCCTCAGTAGTCACTGTATTTTGGGTTAGTTAAAACAAAAATAAGTAGGGTCCTAACATATTCACCGAACTCTTCGGATATCCACAGAACAGACATCCTCGGATAGACACAGATATCGGATATCCATCGGACATTACTACTGTGTGTGTGTAGACTAAAAGGATTTAGCCTAAATTACCTATTCTTTGATGAATCTACTATTAATCCCAAAGGTAAAAGAGTTGATACAAATGCTAACCAAATACAACATTTGCAAGAACTTGAGTGTTTTTATAAGCACAGCAAGCATGAAATAATGACACGTGAAGATATTGAATTGAACCCTCTTTTCCGTGGGAAATTCCTAACTAAGAGTATAACAGTGTAAGTTACATTCAGGCTACAAACGGCACCATTACATGTTAACAGAAAGATTATTAGTGAAGTTTTCGACACATTAACTGTGCCAATACCGATCGCGGGTTTCTGCAGAGTAATCCTTTTTGTTCCTAATGGAGGAAAATCTCACTACTAATCCGCAGGGAAAATCTATTTGCTTCGGATTATCCGTTATGCAAACTGTATCAAGCACTTATTTGAGTTTCGAATCGTTCAAGAGTTTATATAGTTTTGAGTTGGATTTAAACGGCATTAATCACTTATTTCCTTCGAAAAGAACCATTTTGTCTGGCGTATCTGCATACACAATATTTCTTATATACTATTCGAAAGTGAAAGGATTGTTGGAAGTATTTTATTTGACTTAGTAGAGGCACCACGGTTCCTTTTTAAATAAAAATTGGTTTGTGATATATTTGAGATACAAAATGGATACGAAACTTGAAAGAATTGTTAAGCAAGGGATTGCAGAATTATAATTCATTCGTGCCTAAATTGTATCTCAATACGTTACTACTTAACGGTTGTTGCTAACTTTGCGTTAAATATGCATGCAAAACTATTGCTGAAGTGCCATTGTTATCTTTGCAGATAACTGAAGCATTTCGAAAATGAATGGCTCGCTTGCTCTTGAACTTGCACTGGTTAATTTAGCGCATACAAATTTAGATTTCATGAAAGATGAAAATTTCGGTATGTCTACAATAAATGTATAAGTGACGTCTTTCTATAACAATATAACATTTTGTCTTGCATTTGTAGTAATAAATGAGCAACAACAAATGAGCAATTTGTTTAAATAAATAGATACTCCGTATTCCGTAACTAGTAAAACTGAAAATTCAGTGCATTTATAGACCGAGAGTCCTACACACTCTTGTTCCTCAGGTGTGATATGATGAGGAAATAGCTTGGAAATGAGGAGGAAAGGGAACTATGAATCGAAGCTGTAAATTCTCGGAAAGTATAACGAAAAGATTGTAAAAATAATAAATTATAGACATTCTAGTGAGCAGTTATTTCGTAAAGGAATTAAGGATTAAAGACAAAATGCAAAAATCATTGACGTAAAAGCTACTTAGTGGCCATTTTTAAAAAATCTTTCCTCCTCGCGAATAGCAAAAACGCAGTGAATTCGGGATTCAGTTAACACTTTTACTCATGAAATCTATAACTCGGAAAAGTTGACAACCAGAAGGGGAAATCACATATCAATTTTGTACACCAAAGATCCATTTAGTTTGTAAAAATCCATGGATATCCACCAGACATCCTAGGAAATCCATTATACATCTTTCGACATCCTGGCGCATTCGATTCGTTTATTTTCCCGAACGACTTTAGTTTTTAGCGCTGATGTCCTTGTATCGACTTTAGATTTTCGCTATATGAAAGCTTATGGGTTCCATGATGTGCAACTATGACAAATTAACTTTGGAATCCATCACGCTGTTGCTCAAAATCGTTATTTATACACCAATTTTGTTGGGAAAATGACTAAACTATTGCATGATGTTCAAGAAGTGATCCATATGCATTTTTGGTAACCAAAATATTTCTATCCCAAATCGTTAATTATACATCAATTTTCTTGGGGAAACGAGCCACCGGTTGTCATGTCCGTAGCCAGGAAATTCATTCGGGAGGGGCTGGATTTCTGATTAATCACATATTTACCAATGTTAGCTAGTGGCTAATGATCTCTACTGAGTCATATTCAAAACCTACAGTGTGTAATATACTGCAGACCATAAGCGCGTAACGCATAACCTCGACAAGGCGCGGAAGATGCCTTCAGGCCCCCCTCTGACTACGTGCCTGCTCGTTGACCAAGAATTTATACATGTGTATTTTTGGCGACCAAAATATTTTTACCCAAAAGATGTCAAAATCGTTATTTATGCACAAATTTTCTGAGGAAAAAACCAAACTCGATTGCTCGATGCCCAAGAAGTAATCGATGTGTATTTTTGGTGACAAACATATTTATGGCCAAAAAATGTCACCATCGTCACTTATGTACCGATTTTCTTGGGGAAAAGACCTCGTATCGACTTCGGATTGCCGCTATATGAAAGCTTATGGGTTCCAGATGTGCAACTACGAACAATTAACTTAGGTATTCATTATTTTATTGCCCAAATCGGTCTAAATTCTTATTTATTCACCTTATTTCCTTGAGGAAAAGACCAAACTCGATTGCGTGATGTTCAAGAAGTGATCCATATGCATTTTTGGTAACCAAAGAGAGAAATGTTTGCTTCGAGGTTTCCTTTTACACGAAAACTTTGAGGAAATGGCAAAAAAAATATATATCCTCTAATAGCCGATACGGCGTCTATAATACCAATACATAATACCACATCTATTATAATCCATTGTTTTAACTAATTAACACTTACTAATACACACTTAACTTGTATGAATGCCCAAAAACCTGAAGTGTGCAAAAATAAACCGCATATTATGAACACTGCGTAAAATTCAATAAAAATTACGTTTCGGTCACTTTGAATTTTTGGGTGATGAGAAACAGACAGACAAAAAGTATGGCCAATACCTTAAAGACGGACGGACGGACAAAGTGACCACAAGATCGCTTTTTAGAGCACTGTAGAAATGGACAGTGGTACCACCAACAACAAACTAAAAGCCCAAGTAAAAGTGCAACCACTTTATTTTCTTACTTTTCTTTTTATCGAAATGGAGAATTAAAAAAATTCAGTCAGCAGAAGTGTAATTGTTAACATACCATGTAACTTGTCAGGTAGGTATTCGCTTAATTAGACTCATAATTAGACAACAATAAATAAATTGACAAGTTCGTTTAACAAGTGTATTGAGGTTTTTCGTTGACGATAAATACCTTACCACCGCCAACTACGACGGTGAATTTTTTGAATCGCTCTATTACTATCGGTATACTCTACAACATTTTCATGGAGAAACACAGAACCGGGCTGTGTATATTTGAAATTGGTTTATTCCACACTAGAAATAACAATAACAATAAATTTGTTTAGATATGGGATGTTCCTCATTATAGCCGCCAGAAGGAAGTGGGGACAGGAACTTGCGAGTCCAAATTCGAGCAAAATCTTCATTTATTTATCGTGGAAATGGCAAAACTTACTGTAGAGCGTAGAGGCTTGGATAGATTTTAATTACTTAGTGGAATTCACTATCTTGGTAAAAAATATTATGCTCTTCCGCAAAATTTGCACTTCTTCGTCAAGACAGTACCTCTACTTGCAGTCATTTCAGTTTATTTCATGGAAAAAGTATTGGTTTTCGATCTTTTCATTTCTCAGTAAAGATCCAGAAAATAGCAACAGTTTCAGATTTTCAGCACTCAGCAGATGCAGCGCGAAAGATTGTTATAGCTCTGGTAAATTGTATCATTCGTTCACTTTTTTCCCCAAAAGTACGATGAAGTTGGCAAGCCTGTGCTTCTTCAAATAAAGATAAATAATCGAGACTTTTTTTACGTAACCGTAATTGCTTATGATTAAGAGAACAAATATGTCACCATGACATCTCGAATAATCGGTGCCCTTTCCGAAAATCGTGGCGCAATTTACAAAGGGGCCCCTCAACAGGATCTTTGGTAATTAATCAATGTCAAAGTATCGTGTACGTCTCGGAATTAATATCTCCACAAAGATCGGTTATGATTGATAGGTATATCAAAACTGGCTTCCTACAAGTGTCAATCATTCGCGGTCGGTGTCGGTCACGGAAATCGGTTCATAGATACATGTAAATTTTCGAAAAAGTCGACATGCACCGAACGACAGAATCCTTTATGCGCTGAAGTTTACGGTTATTCTGTACTTGGTCATGCTATGAATATTAAATTTTGTTAAGTTTCTAAGAACGAACGGTAAGCCTATTTGTATCCCTGTTGCATTTTACTAGCGTAGACAAAAAAAGGGGAAAATTTTCCGTACCTGACATCGGACTTGTCTCTTGTTTAATGTGATGAGTATTGGCGATAACAGTTTGTCCGGGTATGCCGAAGCAATTTTGCACAATTGTCAGATTGCGTGCATGATTTTGGGCGTTTAAGTCTAAATCCCAAAATTCCAAGTCCACATCACCAATGTCGGTCGACGCCAAAGAATTTGCCGGACTCATTACAAGAACTGCTGAAGACGAAGTCACTTCCGAACTGCTTTCCTCCGGTGTTACTCTTACGGCCTGCAGGCCAGACCATCTACGCTTCATCTCGCATTTGAAAACAATCTACCACTCACTAAGTTTTCCAGAGACGCGAAAAGAGGGTTCGCTGCGTGTACCGGCGTTAAAATCTCTACAACACTGACCCACACATACGAAACGCACTTGGAGAATAATATTTACAAAACTTATCCTTTTTTAAACAGTTTCAAAGTCAACCGGATTACAATATCATTCAGAAATGATAAGCGCAACTTTTCCACTGCATTCAAATTTTTCGATGTGAAAAAAAAAGAGTTCCAAGCACGTGGCGTTTAAAATATGTAAGTAGGACCAACAATAAATGAAAGTAGCACTAAACTAGTAAACGTTTGACTGAATCGGTCGGCCACTAGCACTAATGTTGCTCTTCGCCAAGGAGAGGTTGCTAATGGCAGCTGTGACGTCACAACAGGTTGTTACCTTGTCCCCCCCTCGAGCATTCCAATACATTTACCTGGCGCACACGATTCCACTGTCAGGGCCATCTTACGTTCTCTCTCCCATCGCTACATAATTTTTTTTCACAACCAACTCGATGATGATTATGGACGCATTTGTCCTATAGGCGAAATTTTAGAGCAGCCGTTGATGTGCAGCTTTATTTTTACACCGAAGACGTATTCGGCTTTAATTAAGTGAAACCATTACAAACTTTCGTTTTGTCGCATTCAATAAAGGTTGATTGCGACGAGTTTTTTTTTCCTTTTTAAGGTGAAACTGCAGAACTGGTGATTCAACATCTTAATTATCGAAATTGTGTCGTAATTACGTGGGACGGATTGGCACACAATTAGAAGAAATGGGTATTAATTATAGGTAGTATGGAGTAGGTTGGCAATGACATTGTTTTGAATAAGGTTCGGAAAAAGCACGCGAAGGTGTATGGAAACAGGATGCGTTAACTGTGTATTGATCAAGGGGTGGCTTTGTTGTCGACCCTTATTACGAACGGCGGTCAATCCAATACGCAATGTTTAATCCGAAGTGTTCGCGTCGAATTTGGTGGGCTCAATAATGGTTTCGGATTTGTGACAGTGAGAAACTGGCATTTGATCCACGCTCAAGCCGCCTGACAGAACAATGAAGTATATTTTCGAGTTAAATGCGAACAAATATCGACCGTATAAAAATGCTGTAATTTGTGGGAAATATTCATTTCTCCACCTGTTTGGTGTACATTTTCGAAATGTTGCACAAGATTAACAGGAATTTGTGTGATTTTACTTGAACTTTACCAATATTGATACTAATTTACGTAATTGATAGTTAGTCGTTTTGATGTTAAGAATGGGAAAAGAAAAATAAATTGTTTAAAACTAAGAATTGCAAACGCCAACAGAAATTATAGTGCAAAAAGGAGTTAAATAGCAGAGGCCAGAAATTAGTAGTTATAGCGCATCGACGTCTGGCGATGGGGATTGGTCAGTAGGAATGCTCCTTTAGCACTTTCATAGTAGGACAGAGAACCTTAACGAAGAATTTTGGGATCGAATCACAAAATTTGCAATGGTTATACACGCCTAGAGATGAAACAATTGAAACTAATAAGAGAGTAAAATATGACCTTTGAGGATAGCAAGATAGCCTCGTAACCCCAATTATATTGAACGTAAACGGCAAAATACTAGCAAAACATAATTTTAAGTTGTTGCCAAGTATGAGTTTTCATTCACGTTAGTTAGGGCATGCTGATCATTAGAAGAATTGTCAGTTACAGACTTTTTAAAGTCACACTAAAATTGACCAAGCAATCGAGATATGCAATACTAGGTATAGAATAGAGTATAGGGGGTTCTACTTTAAAAAAATGCAACTTTGACATAAATCACCCTTGCAATTTGGTTGAAAATATTTTTTAGGTTATAGCCTTAAAAGTCCTTCACCATGCCCCTTAATATGTACGTTAATAAACTCCATCGCCCACATACTGGCCCACCCTGTAGTTCTGGGGCACTCACTAGAGATCGATGGTGGTTTTGACAGCTCGTTAATGGAATCACTAGGTTAATATATCTAGCAGAATGTCCTGAAATCGAATCCCATTCGAGATGTGCCTTTTTTCTCAGCTTTCGCCGACTTTATTGCTATTCACTTTTGCCCCCAAAATATATTTGAAGCGATTACAGGAAAAAAGTTCTTTTCCTACTTAGTTAAACGTCAGCCTGCACTACCCGTTAATAAAACAGTATTGCAGGTCACTACAAAGTTACGGTATTAAGAACCTGAACCTTCAGACGAACGAACAGACGGAATTGAATGAGATATTTGCATGAAAGATGGACTTAAAACTCCGCTGCTGATGCCTAGTGCCCATCCACTCGCCTGGCTCGTAATTACGTTCTGATTACACAATGTTTACGCAAAATTAGTGGTCACTTTTCCGCAAGAAGAACTATTGTAGCGAATATTCTAGAAATCCCGCGGATGAGGCCATGTGGCGCATTTTTTTCAGGACATATGAGGAGTTTGTTCTAGAATATTCGGGAGCGTTCAGGAACTTTCGAGAAATATGAGCGTTTGCTATATCAGCAAATCGAACTGTGCTTAAGTCAGTTCCAACATCAATGCGCTCGTATCATGTTATAAATTATGAGTGATAAATACTAATCAACGGTGATAAATTAATCAATTTAAAGACTGTTATAAATCTATTGTTATAGTTAATTGTAAATAAATAAAGCACATAGGTACTTAAATTTACGTTGCACTATTCTATATCGTAATTGGAGAAACACTAGAGAGGTGTAACTTGTGGGCGACTTTGCAATATCAGTTGTGAAAGCCTGTCCACGATAATTCGACAACGGAGAGATTCTTTAATTATATTTGCTGCAATGGAGAGCTTAAATCTGCTGCTTAAATGAACTCATTTTTTAAACCATAATTTGTGGTCGAAAACGTATAAAAACCCATAAGACGAAAAAGAAAAGAATTTTTGCAAAATGTACGCTCTAATTTGGTTGAGAATAGGTGTAAACGAATTAAAAATCCAAGGAGCAGTAAATGGATGTCATATGCATTTCCTATGGGAAACAAACAATTTTTTTAAGTGGCTGGGGTTTCAGGCAACCCACTATACTATACAATAAATTACAGATATCCATGCCCGAACACGAACATTACTCTCATTATTACAGACAAAAGCTAGTATAATACCGTTCGGTTTTTATCTAACAAAATTGGGGCATCAATATCGATTTTCAGATCTTTTGGGTATATAATACGTTGGTCATTAAAATACATATGGATCGCTGCGTGGGCATCCATCGAGCAATCGAGTTTGGTTTTTTTCTCAACAAAATTGGTGCATAAATAACGATTTTTATATCTTTTGGGTAAAAATACTTTCACCGCAGTTTTTATACACTTCTTGGGCATCGCTTAATCGAGTTTACTGTTTTTCCCAAGAAAATTGATGAATAAGTAACGATTTTGACACTTATAGTAAATATATTTTGGTCGCCAAAAATAATGTTGGGCCACCCTGTACGTGAAATAACCTTCATTTTTATGTGTAAATCTGGTGAGTTGTGGTCATTGAATTCTAAATTTAAAGGTTGATTTGTTTTGAGCTGGCTGGACAGATATTACACACACACACACAGCAGTATGTTGGTGACAAAAAATACACATGGATTACTTCCTAAGCATCCAGCAATAAAAATTGGTCTTTTTTTCAAAAAAGTTGGCGCATAACGATTTTGACATGTTTGGGTTAAAAATATTTTGGTCAGAAAAAATTTATATATCACTTCTTGGGCATCGAGTGTTTGGTCCTTTTTTCAACAAAATTGGTGCATAAATAACGATTTGGGTAAAAATACTTTTTCCGCTAAAAATACACATGGTCACTCGAGTAATCGTTAGTCTTTTTCCCAAAACGGATGCATAAGTAAAAATTTTGTTATTTTTTGAGTAAAACTATTTTGTTCGTCCAAAATACACATAGAGTTTGGTCTTTATCCCAAAAAAATTGGCGCATAAATAAGGCAAGGGATTACGTGACGTTATTAAGCCCCCAGATACGATCATGGAATTAAAATCGGCTAGAGGGCACCTTAATTAAGCGTTTCCAACAAACAAATTTGCGGGAGAAGCCCCCCAATTTTCCACAATCTTAATACAAAGTTCACCATAATTTTGTTGAAATGAAAGTTGATCCGCATTTCATGATTACTTCAATTTTTCAAGAGCCGCTCTACGACATTCTTCTTTCCTAAGGCATTCAAGTTTAGACTGAATGCGCTTCTAAAAGTGGTTTTATTAAAGTGTATGCACATGTGATTTGGAAGTGCCGCTTATTTTGTGTATAAGTCGAACTATACTGCATTCATTATAAGAAGGTATAGGTATAGTAGATGACGCTGTGTTTGAAGATAAGCACACACAGGAAAAATATAGAACGGCACCAAATTAATGCAAAGTAGAAATACACTGCGAACACAAATAAATCAAACGATTCCATGTTTGGATCTTTGTCATTAACAGTGCATGACAATTCAACAGTTTAGTTGGGAACAGGAACTACCAAAATTTGTCACTCGTTTTATTTTCTGGTGTAATACTGACTCGTGTTTTAACCAATCACGGTGAAGGTCAAAGGTTTCCTATGCTTTCTACGGCTACCTTCTTAAAATGAATACAGTAAAGACCTAAAATTGTATTGTATATTACTAATTTTATACACGTTAAACCCAGCATATTTCAGTTATTAGAGAAAGAAGCTAACACTACCCTAAACGATGAGATTTTTCAGTTTCACCAACTTAAGAATGACTATTTCGAGGAAATGAAGTTGAGTTTTTAATTAAGATTGTGCAAAATTTTCGGCTTCTCCAGCAGTTTTTGTTGTCGAAAGCACTTAATTAAAGTGCCCTCTCTAGCCCCTTTTATTAATTTCATGGATATAGGGAGCAGACATTTTTGATGCATTACTATAAATTCAGAAAAATGTCCAACTCAATAGTATTTTACTGAAGAGCGGATGAGAAACAAGCATGTAGGTGCAGGAGTTTCACTTCTAATTAAAAACAATTTAAAGAACGGATGGATGGATAAGCGTACCTACACACTAGTTACTTTACCATTTGGACAACCGCCCCTAAAAACCCATTTATTGCGCAATTTGCAAAAGTAAAATTAGTGAAAAGCAAGGAATAGTTTCTATTGATTAACATCAGCTAGAACAGGGGACGTTTGGTGGTGGTGTCGATGTTGGAGAAAGAGCCAACATGGCAGAAGGGTCCGAAATGTTTTCTTTTGAAAATGTCGGGGCGACAACCTTAATTAATATTGATTAAACTTACAATGAAATATATTTCACTAACACATTCACGACTTCACTCCCCGGCTTATAGAACATGAC